CCGGGCCCAGGTCGCAGGCGGGCCGGTACCGCGGGTCCCGCGCGCGGCTCCGCTCCACGTGCAGCGCGTACAGCGAGAGCGCTAGCCCCAGCGCCGCCAGCCCGCGCCACCACATCCCGCCGGCCCGCCCCTTCCGCCCCGGGCGCGCAAAGCCTGCCGGGACTCGGAGTCTCCAGTTTTATTAGGAAAGTGCTGCACACGGGCCCGGAGAAGCCCCGCCCCCCCGCGTGCGCCCAGCCAGGGGGCGTGGCTTCTTTCCGCCCCGCGCTATCTTCAAGGGGAGGCCTTCCTCCCCCGAGGGGGCGTGGCTGTCCCGAACAGGCGCAACTTTCTCCCAGGGGTGTGGCTTATCTCCGAGTGGACGGAGCTTTCAAGGGCCTGTGGACCTCTCTCCAGTGGGCGGAGCTTCCCCGAGGAGGCGTGGTTTCTCTCCCAAGGAGCCGGCCTTGCTTCAAGGGGCGTGGCTTATCTTCAAGCGGGCCGAGCTTCACCCAAGAAGCCTGGCTCCTCTCCCAGTGGGCGGGGCATCGGTGGCGGCCCACTGGCGAAGAGGCGTGGCCAGGCGCAGGGTCGGGGCTAGGGCTCGGCCAGGTCAGGCAGGTCGCCGCTGAGGCTCATGGGAGAGCCGAGCTGGAGCTCGCGCTGCAGCGACTCCATGTCGGCGGCGTTCATGCGGTGCACCTCCAGCCAGTCGGCCAACAGCGAGGCCGACAGCGGCGCCGAGTCGCCCTGGCTGCGGGAGGGTGGGGTCAGCGCCAGACGCCGGGGTCCCGCCCCGCCCCCGGGGCAGAGCAGGGCATTGTGGGAGTCCTCACCTGTCGCGGGCGTCGGCCATGTCGAAGCTCTGGTTGAGGAACTCCTCCAGGTCGAAGCCGACCCCGTAGCCGGCGCCACTGCCCTTGGGCGTCCCGGAGAAGACAGGCGGCAGCGGGTCCTCCACCTGGGGGTGGGGCACCGTCAGCACCCGGAGCCCAGGCGTCCGGGCTCCTCCCCCCACAGGACCCTCGCTCACCTGGGACCGGGACAGCTGCTGCGTCACCGTGGCAACGTCGGGGGTCTCGGCGGCCCAGGGGCCGGCAGGCACTGGCGGGGTGGGGAAATTGAGGCAGGCGGGCACCGCGGCGGCTCCGTGGCCAGCAGGGGCCGAGGTCACGTGGCCGATGACCCCTGGGGTCACGTGCACCACGGTCGCTGGGTTCATGTGACCCACAGCCCCGGTGGTCAGCGGGGTCACATGACCGATGACCGCGGAGGTCACCTGCACCACGGCTCCAACAGGGGCGGGGGTCACGTGACCAGCCGGGTCAGGGGCCACATGACTGGCAATGACCCCAGCGGTCACTTGCACCACGGCTCCAACAGGGGCGGGGGTCAGGTGGCCCGTGGGGTCAGAGGTCACAAGAGTCACCGCCCCAGCAGGGGCCACAGGACGTGGAGCAGGGTCGGCGGTCACGTGATCCCCGGCTCCCAACTCGATGGAGGCCGCGGCACTGGGGGCGTGGCCGGCCCGGTCCCGCATGCGGGTCCAGCGCTCCAGCAGGCTGCGGTCAC